TCTGTGTGTGTGTGTGTGTGTGTGTGTGTGTGTGTGCGCGTGCTTGCCCATGGAAACCTGGAGGGGGCACTGGATCCCCTACAGCTGGAGTTAGAGGCAGTTGTGAGCCACCTGATGTGAGTGAAAGCAGTGCATACGCTTAAGGACTAAACCATTTCTCTGGTTCTTTTTCTTCCTTTTTTCTCTTTCACAAGATGTTTTGTTATGTTACTTGGATGCGCGCGCACACACACACACACACACACACACACACACACACACACTCCCCATTGGAAGTCAGGGTGGGTTCTCTCTACCCTGGGTTCTAGGGATTGGTGGCAGGTGTCTTTATCAGCTGAGCCCTCTCTCCCTCCAGCAGCAAACACGTCACTCTGCTGCCCTCGTGTGGTTATCATAGCATCAGCAGATGAACCCTCACCCTTTTCTAGGTTCACTTACGTTCCTTCTGTAGTTTCCGAACTCGAATCTTGAGCTCTCTGGGTAGACGCCTCCAATCTGGGAACAGTGAGAGTGTGAAGGTCAGAAGGACCCTGGGGGCTTCCCTGAGTGATGACTGGTACTAAAGGGAAGGTGAGGGTTTTAAAGGACAGGAAGGAGGGATTGGCTTGAAGTTTTTCAGAAAAAACAAGACTGCTGGCTGGGCGCCTCTGGGGAGGTGGCACTGTTAGTGGGTTTCTTAAGTAGAACCTGAGAGTGTCGACAGCACATCTAAGACTCTCGTTCTGGATGCTGTACAGGAAAGGGAGGGTGATTTGTGGCACCCAAGCACCCCGTGGCACCTCTGAGGAAGGGCATTCAGTGAGGGCCAGTCACCTACCAGGGTTCCAGTCGATGGCATTGTCCATTGGCCCAGACATCTGGTACTTGTCTGAGTACCGTTCCACATCTGAGAGTCAGAGGTCATAAGTCAGAGTTTTATGCGTAGAACAAATTTGTACCTAAGAGTCTACCCCTCTGAATTCTCGGGAATTATTGATTACCTCACTCCAAACCCAGAGCCCAGTGGTGCCAACTTCAGAGAATACCTTGCCCCTCTTCCACCCTGCCTGGTTGTTCCTTTTTGCCCTTCTGTTCTTCTGAGAGGCAATGTCTTCAGTGGACAGTATACACCAGGATAAAAGCCAGGGTTCAGTCTTCTCTCTCCCTCTTTCTAATGAGGTTAGTTTCCTAAGTCTCCCATCTCTGCAGCCCTCAGCTCTCAAGGCCTCAGTATAAAAGCATTAATTGCCAATACTAAAATACTGTACTTCCTCACCATGGGTAAATATCCCAAGTCTGCCAGTAGCACTGCCTTCTCCCATCTCCTGCTCTCACTACTGAAAGGAAAATGCTTGGCACAGGTGGGGTTCTCAGACACCTAGCTAGCATCAGGGTCCTTCCAGTTAGTTAATAGGCTCGTGAGTTGTGTTACAGTTTGTTTTGCACCTCACTTATACATATGAAGTAAGACGCTAATGCTTTAATGTCAACTCAAACCTTGAATGAATAAGGTATACTTTTCAGACACAGACGGGAATTTTAATGCTCTCTCCATTAGATAGTAAACATCCTGAGTCTCTCCGGTCCCCAAGGGCGCTGAGCATGGGCACTGCCTACAGAAGGCTCTAAACACGATGCTAGCATTTCCACTGACCTCTCTTGGGGACAGCTGGCCGGATGAAGTATGGGAGCTGCCTCATGGCCCCACGCAGCTCTTGCTTCAGTGCCAGAACATACTCCCCTTCCTCTCCTGCGGGCAGAGGCACTGGGTGGAACTCTAAGGGCTGAGAAGGCACAATGGTTAGTTTAGGGGGAAAATGTGGTAAAAACTTTACAGGGCTTTCCCCCTAAGTTGAATCCATTGTCCCCAGTAAACAGAGAGCCAGAGAAATGGCAGTGCAGCATCTTTTGAAAGCTCGGCAGGGGGGGGAGTATGAAAATAAACAATAAACACTTCTTTGTCTTCTGTGGGTCGGGACTCCGGAGGCTGAGGGTGGAGATGAGGGTGGCTTAGGATGGGCCACTAGGACTCTGTGGTCACATGCAGTCAGTGAGGGGCACATGGGAGTCTTAGGGAGGAGGGGGACACTCACGGGGAAGAGTGGAGAAGGCTGTAGAGTGGGTGGGGGTAAAGCATCACCCTTCCCAATGCCCACAGCCTCCATGTTGAAGGTCAACTGGCCTCGGCCACGACCCCGGCCCCCACCCCGGCTGGCCATGGTGGAGGGGGCCTGGATACTCAGAGATCCAGGGAGAAAAACCTAATAAAGACAAAAACAAAGAGATAAAGAAGTACAAGGAACTACATGACACCAATATCCTATGGCAGGTGACATTTTTCTCAATGCTAAGGTTCAAACCCAGGGCATTTCTTACGCTAAGTAAGCACTGTACCTCTGAGCTATATTCCAAATTGTTTCTCTGTGACACTTAAAAAAGTCAATGGTGCTGGGCAGTGGGGCACGCCTTTAATCTCAGCACTTGGGAGGCAAACACAGGCAGATCCCTGAATTTGAAGCCAGCCTGGTCCATAGAGCAAGTTTCAGAACTGCCAGGGCTATGCAGACAAATCCTGTCTTTAAAAAAAGAAAAAAAAAGGCAAAATAATATATATGGTTTCTCTGTGGCTTTGGAGGCTGTGCTGGAACTAGCTCTTATAGATCAGGTTGGTCTCAACCTCACAGAGATCCGCCTGTCTCTGCCTCCCGAGTGCTGGGATTAAAGGCGTGCGCCACCACAGCCTGGCTTATGCACTGCTTTTTGCAGAGGAGTGGAGTTTAGTTACTAGTACTTGTGTCTGCTAGCCCACAACCACTTTTAAACCCAGCTTCAGGGAATCTAACACCCTTGTCTGGCCTCCAGTATATGCACACACACACACACACACACACACACACACACACACACACACACAATTTTAAATTATTAAAATGTTTTAATTTATGTGCACTGGTGTTTTGCCTGCATGGATATCTCTATGAGGGATCAGGTACTCTGGAACTGGCATTACAATCATGAGTTGCCACGTGGATGCTGAGTATTGAACCTCTGGAAGAACAGCCAGTGCTCTTAACTGCTGAGTAATCTCTCCAGCTCCCTTTAAATTTTTAAAAATATTTTTAGCAGGGAGGTGGTGGCACACGCCTTTAATCCCAGCAGAACTGGCCTGGTGGCTAAAAGTATGTGCTGCTCTTGCAGAGGACTAGGGTTGGTTCCCACCTCTCACATCAGGCAATTTCCAATTCCCAAGCCCTTTTACAGCCTCCATAGACATTTCACATACACGGTACTCCTACAGGCAAGTAGGCACACAGAGATAAGTAAAAATAAATAATATTTTAAAGATTTTAAAGCACTGAAAATAATAAATGTTGGCTACAGAGTTGTCTCAGCATTTAAGAGTGGGCACTGCTCTTGCAGATGACTTGAATTTGGTTCTCAGCACTCACAAAGGATGACTTATAACCATCTGTATCTCTAACTCCAGAGGATCCAATGCCTTTGGCCTTCATGACACCTGTATTCATGTGCACACACAGAGACCCATAATAATAAAATAAATCTTTTTAATTTTTGAGATTTTTATTTTATGTGTATAAGTGTTTTGCAGACATGTATTTGTACCATGTGTGTAGTGCCCATGAAGGCCAGAAGAGGGCACTGTTTTACCCAAGACTGGAGTTACAGATGGTTGGAGCCAGATGAGGTGTTGGGACTCGAACTCAACTCTTAATCACAGAGCCATCTCTTCGGCCCCCAATAAAACAAATCAACATTAGATTATAATCCCAAAGTATGAAATAAATGTCCATGAGTTCATAGTGATATAAATGACTGGGAAAAGACAAATGTCCCATGCAGAATTCTAAACAAATTATGTAGATAGTCCAAGCTAAAACATAAGCTAAAGCATGTAGATATCCCACACTAACAGGACAGGAGCATAATTTCTGATTCATAAGTCAGTTGTATAGGAAATTTTGTCCCACATGCTTTTGGCAAATTGGAGGGTATGAAGTAACTTTTTTTTTTTTTAAAGATTTATTTATTTTAGACACTATCTGCATGTACGACTTTATGCCAGAAGAGGGCATCAGATCTCTCTATAGATGGTTGCGAGCCACCATGTGGTTGCTGGGAATTGAACTCAGGACCTCTGGAAGAGCAGCCAGTGCTCTTAACCTCTGAGGCATCTCTCCAACCCATGGAGTAACTTTCTAATGGCCAATCAGGTGACCAAAACATCAACAGCAGTAACTCACATGGGCAGTAACTCATATGTATTCTCAACACGATGTAAAGACATTGTTTCAGGCCGGAGAGATGGCTCAGTGGTTAAGAGTACTGCCTGCTCTTCTTAAAGGTCCTGAGTTCAATTCCCAGCAACCACATGGTGGCTCACAACCATCTGTAATGAGATCTGGTGCCCTCTTCTGGCCTGCTGCAGGCATACATACAAGCCGACACACTATACACATAATAAATAAATAAATCTTAAAAAAAAAAAAAAAAGATTCTTTTCTCATTTTGTTGACTTGGGATCTCCTGTAGCCCAGGTTGGCCTGAAACTCACTATGTAGCACACAATGACAGTGACCTGCCACCTTCAGACCTGTCCATCTCTACTCTGGAGTGCTGGGACTACAAGCCATGTGTCTCCTTCCTTTTCTCTCTCCCTCTCTCCTGTCCTTTCATCCTTCCTCAACAAGGTCTCATTATGTAGCCCAGGCTGTCCTTGAACACTCTGTCTCAGCTTCCCAAGTGCTAGGCCTCCATGCAGGTGCCAGACTTGAAATGGTATTTTACCTCTGTGTCATCATTCCAACAGAGGGCTAGCCTATAGCAAATCTGACCAGTTCTCTTCAAAACTGTCAAGATTATAAAAAAAAGAAACTGAGAAACGGTCATAGTTCAGAGGAGTCCCAGGGAATGGGGCAGAATGTAACGGGGTATTCTGGATGGGATTGCAACACATGAAAAGACCATTATATAAAAACTAAAGAAATCTGGATGGAATATGAACCTTGAAAAATAATAATATGCCAGGCAGTGGTAGTGCACATCTTTAATCCCAGCACTTGGGAGGCAGAGGCTGGAGGATCTCTGTGAGTTCAAGGTCAGCCTGGTCCTCAGATCAAGTTCCAGGATAGCCAAGGCTACACAGAGAAATCCTGACTGGAAAAACTGAAAAGGAAAGAAAGAAAGAAAGAAAGAAAGAAAGAAAGAAAGAAAGAAAGAAAGAATAGTGGTTCATTAATTGTAACATACAACATTAATAATAGGGAAACTGTGTATCAGGGCTGTATGGGAACACTGGGGGTTATCTGCCCAGCTTTTCTGTAAATCTATTTTTGTTTTATTTTAGCTTATTATTTTGTAGGACTGGAAGCTGAATACAGGTTTTTCCATATTCTAAGAGAGTACTCAGCCGGGCGGTGGTGGCACACACCTTTAATCCCAGCACTCCGGAGGCAGAGGCAGGCGAATCTCTGTGAGTTTGAGACCAGCCTGGTCTACAAGAGCTAGTTCCAGCACATCCTCCAAAGCCATGAGAAACCCTGTCTCGAAAAACCAAATAAATAGGTAGGTAAATAAATAAATAAATAAATAAGAGAGAATACTCAGTCACTGAACTATAACCTGTAACATTTACACTCTGTAAACATTGTTTTCATTCAGGTGACAGGCTTTCATGATTGTTCTTCTTCCTTTCTGTGTTCTTCTTCCTTTCATTTTTCCTATAATATATGAATACTTCTTTTTATAAGAGGAAATATTAGGTAGGCTCCATGGCTTAAGCCTGTAATCCCGGTACTTGGTGGGGGCTGAGGAAAGAGGACAGCTAAGGGAGTCTGGGGCTAGCCTGGGATACACAGGTATTTCCAAACTCATGAGCCTCCTTGTTTTTACCTCAAAAGTTCTAAGATTACAGTTATGTGCCAACATGACTAGCCAATAAATAAAATCACCGATTTAAGATTTTAACCACAGGAACAAGGGGGAAGTCTCAGTGGGTAAGGTCCCTTGGTATACAAGCTGACCACCTGAGTCTGAGCCACAGAACTGATGGGAAACAGGAGAATTGGTGGAAGTTTATAGGCTAGCTAGTCTGAAGTTCACTACTCAGTGGTTAGAGACCCTTGCCTCGACAAGGTGGAGGGCGGGGACAGACGAGGTCAGAGAACTTTGAGGATTCTCTCCCCCACCCTTTCTCTCTCTCACATACATACTAAAGTAAAAGTTTAAAAATTGAATTAAATGTAAATATATTATATGTCTTATATACAGAATTGTATACAAGAATAATCTATAGCAGGAAGAAGATGGAGATCTGAGGAGTTAGGAGAGCCGAACATGAAAAAAATGGAACAAAAAGATTGCTGTTGACTCGTGTAGCTTGTCATGGGTCTTTAGCTTCTTTCAAGGAAGAGGACTAAGCAGCCGGCTTTGGTCTCCTTCCTTTTGACAGATACAGCTCCAGCTGTGGAGGAGAAAGTGGTTCTGATGGCAAGGCAATGGGGAACTAAGAAAAGGCCATGAACTTGGAGGCTTGACAACTCTAACCCCATTTCCACACACTCATGCATGAAACAAGCGATCACCAAAGAGCAGAGGAAAAGCAACAAATGCTATTTAATGCAGGCATCGAGCTGTTGGTCAGAAACTAGACAGCACAGGTCTCGTCCTTTCAGCTTGGGGATCTGTAATGAATCCATTTACGATTGTAACAAATGATACTGTAAACCCACTCAAAAGCTTCCAGCCATGGAGATCAAAGGTCCAAGTGGGAAGCTACTACTGTGGTTCTGGTAAACACCTTCTCAGTAACTGTTCTCAACTCGTGGATTAGTGCTGCTGTCGGCTTTGGCAGAGGAGCTTCTTTTTGTTATGGTTAGCGGTGACACTAGAGACTGGTCAAAGTACAGAGGAAAGAGGACTGTCTGTTGTCAAGCCATAAGACACCAGTGTTACCCACTCTAAGGTTTAAGAGGACTTTGCAGGGGAGAAAGGTTGGTATGCGTGGCACACTGATTTCTAGACTGAGCCCTTGTGATTAACTACACAAGGTTGACACAAGACTGGCTCTGTTCATATCCTGTCACTGAAGGAGGAGATCATGGGGACTACTCCTCCCTAAGAATTTATAAGACCTTAGTAACTGATGGGAGAGCCAGAGGCATTTTCTTCAGTGGTGTAGCCACTGGTAAGGCTGTCAAGCTCCTCTAAAGAAACCCTCCCTGAGCCCAACCTGGGGCTTTAA